GGGGGGGTAAAGCAGTCTCCCACATCTCCAATCAGGGATCTAGGGAACAATATCTTGCAGGAAAAAGTCACAGCTGAAAGTAATAAGTAAATTAATAAATAAATAAATAAAGAATATTAAATGGTTAGGTAGTGAACACGAAAGGTGGAGGGGAGGTAGGACTCAATCCACAGTTTCTAGACTTTCTGAAATGTAAAAACGATGTCATTCTGGATAGCTGTCATCTTTCAAGAAACATCACCTGCAAAACTCTATGCTTGACCTCTTCAAAGGGAATGTTTTTTTCTGCTATATTTATCTACCATTTATCTAACTGTCCAGAGTTAATCAAACTCACCATGTAGTGACTGGGTCCTGGAGTCCACACTGCATTGCTGTTGGAGATGGACAAGGCACGTGTAGAAGAGGATCCAAATGCTCCCCTTTTTGAGCTCTCCAGGCTTTCTCTCTTCAGACTCTCGCTCACAATGCCATAACTAAATAAGTCATAACAGCCTGGACCTAAAAATAAATAAATTACTTTCTGTCATTAACATAATTTTTACTGTTTCCGCAGCAATCTTAGGCAACCTATCATAAGGGTAATATATGTGCAGTCACAGTCAATCCCTTCTGAAAGTGTTAGTTAACTGTTTGTCATGTAGATCTTCCTTTTGCCACCTAGAGAACCAATAACCATATTTAGGGCTTGTGTCAACATGCTTGTGCTTGCTTTAAGCAAGGTTTGCATTCCCATACAAATCTAGGGGAATGCTAAACCCACTTAAAGTAGGTGAAATGCAGGTCAGAAGGAGGTCAACCGCAGATCAAATGCACCGGTCAACAGAATCTGAATAATTGCAAACGCCTATTAAACTGATTTCAAACTGATGCTATCAACACAAGTCCAAAGCCCATGGACTAACAGGGCTATTCACAAAAGGGTGAAGGGTTTGGAGAAGGCAGGAGAAGTGAACAATCTAGGACAACATAGTTGAACTGGAAAGGGAGCTGAATTGGAGAATTTTCAAAATCAGCTGTTTTGGCCTAGATTGTTAATTTCTCCTGCCTTCTCCAAACTCTTCACCCTTTTGTGAATAACCCTGCAAGTGTGCTGTTTAGAAGCTCTGACTTACTGGCTGAATACTTCTTCCTGAAACCGAAAGCCAAATTATTATCCTTATTGCTGGGCAGCTTTTTCCAAAGGGAGACAGAATGACAACTCATATTAGACTTTCGGTATTATGTAGAATAAAGCTGAGCTAGATATGGTCCAGTTTGTCATATGCTACTTGAGAAGTGACCCTCTTTTCTGAGACCATATATTTCTTTTAGACTGAACACTATGTAATCCAAAACTGATCAATCAATTTTGGGTGGGGCTTTTTGTTTAGAATTCCTCCAGCAAATAGTTAATTTATTAATGGCAAATAGACTGTTCACTTCGCAAGGGAGTTTCCACTAAGGGTGCCCATACACCTTACAACCATCGCAAGACTTTTGTCTTGCGATGGTTGTAAGGTCATTTTAAAAACGTACGATCTGCCCATCTTGGACAGGTAGATCGTACTTGCGATAATCGGGCTTCCGATGACCACAATGCTGAACGGGCAGTGTACGCTTGCGCACACTGGCCCGTTCGGTATTTGTCTTACGAGCATGCCACAAACCCGCCAACAATCGTACGATTCTCGGTGGGTTTTCGAACATGCTCTTAAGACCAAAGTCGTGCGAGCTTACAGTAGCAGAGGTTGCACGCCCTCCATACACCTTGCGATTATCGTACGATCGCGGGTTTTCCCGTGATTATCGTACGATAATCGCAAGGTGTATGGACACCTTTAGAAGTGGAAGCTTTAGCTTAGTGTATGAGGTAAAGCTCTGCTGACTTTCGACACCTAGTCATGTACAAGCAAAAATACTGTATTTTTTTTTTCCTTGCACATGACTGAGAATTCTTCACAAAGTGAAATTTTACCACATTCACCAAGCTATGGGAAACATCTCCTGCAAAGTGCAAATTCACCTGCAAAGTGAACAGCCTATTTGCTATTAAATCAATAAATCAATCCCTTTGTCTATCACAGAAATACTGGTGATAATGGTAAATTGTATAAAGGGTTAGGTGATATTAAAGTCAAAATGTTTCATGTTTTAAGCTATTTCAAAGGATGATTAAATCACTTACAATAGATGCTGCTCCTTGGTTTTTAAAAGTTTTTGTTTCCAGCAGAATCAGCTGGTCCCCTGAGTACTACCGTATTTGCCGGCGTATAATCACGGCAGGCTTTGTAGTAACCAATACAAAGCCTGCCGTGAAAGGCTCATCGCGGTATACTGTATGTAGCTGAGGGACGGCACCCGGAAGATGGAGGACACTGCGGGGATAGTGGACAAGGTAAGAGACTGTAATCCCAAATGTTGCTCGAGGTTAACGCTTATGGTACTGAAAATTAACCCCGAGCCACACTTGGGAATACCGCCATGGAGGTTAGTGGGTGCATTTAAACATTATTTTGGGCTATACTCGTCTTATACGACGAGTATAGCCCAAAACCTATATTTTAACACAAAAAGTAGGGGGTCGTCGTATACGCCCAGTCGCCTTATACGGCGGCAAATACAGTAGTCCTGATATCCTGTTGTAGGGTGGCTCCTTTCCCTTGCAACGTGTTATGGAGGCACCCTTGTGTGTGCTAGTAAGCTGTGTGTGTGTCTCCACCAACACACACAAACACAGCAAGGTAAAGCACTCCCATGCTCCCCACTTCTCCTTCCTCCGCTCTCCCTTCTTTAAGCCAGTAGATGGACAGCTGCTGGAGACTGTGCTGGCCCTTTTGATCTTGTACTGTGCAGTGAGTTCAGGGAAACCCTTGCAAACATAGGGAGAACATACAAAGTCTGTATAAATAGTATTTAGTATCTTAGGTGAGATTAAAAGCAAGGACCAAGAATTGCAAAGCAAAAATGTTAACCAAACTGAATTTCATTTATGATTTAATGCATACGACTGCTAACAAAAGGCATAAAGAACCAGCACAACATGTAAAACACAAAGAGGGGAATTTATCAAAACGGGAGAAGACATAATCTGCACTGCACCAATCAGCTTCTCTGTCTCATTTTCAAATCTTACCTGAGCAATCTGAAGAGAAAGGCTGATTGGTTGCAATGGGCAACCACTCTAGATTGTCTGCTCCAGTTTTGATAAATTGCCCCCTATAAAGTCATGTTACAATGTGAGCAAAATGCATAAAAAGCATAAAACAATGCAGCACATTATAGCAGAGTTATGCTAATGTGCCCTCAGTCCTTTTCCCCATTTAATTGCTTACCTGGTGTTTTCTGCAATCTTGAGTCTTGTAAAAAGCGCACTGCCTTATAACCAAATGGTATTTGTGCCATGCTTGATGTTTTCTTCAAAGACTCAAATGCTGTACGCTGTTCATTATAGGCGCCTGGGGCTGGGGTGATTGATTTCACAGGTAGAAATCGCTAGTGTGGCACACAAGAAAATAATATTAAATATTATGAAATAACTGGCAGCTGCATAGGCAGTAAAATGTTTAGAGATTTGACTGTATATAAGTTTATCCAACAACTATAGAACACTCTTTAAGCAAACCTGCAGCCAAACCATTGAAACAACGTTGTAGAATTTCTGCTGTGTGTGTAACAGTGGGTCATGCTGCATGGCTGTGGAAGAGCTCATTTTGATATATCATAGCAAACCTGTAAGGCACAATGCTAGTACTAATCAACTTGCTCTTGTGACAGTATCTGATTTCTTTACACAGGCAGTCAGGGAGTTCACAGGAGACTAGAAGAATGTTGAGATGAAAATTTAAAGGGGCACGATTTATAAAAAATAACAGGAAAATATCTTAGTTTAAGCCCGTGAATGACTCTTACAGGATTATTCACAAAAGGTTGAAGGGTTTGGAGAAGGCAGGAGAAGTGAACACAGCTGAACTGGAAAGTGAGTTGAATTGGAGAATTTCTCCAAATCAGCTATGTTGTCCCACATTGTTCACTTCTCCTGCCTTCTCCAAACTCTTCACCCTTTTGTGAATAACCCTGTTAGTGACACTGGATAACCATGGCAGTTTATTTTTTGCTATACATAAAGTACAAAAAAATATGGAATCTCCAAAAAGATTACCTCAACACCACTAACAGACTTTCCTTTCTGTAACCTAAAAGTGTTTTCTAACTGAATTCGGTATCAATGCTGCAACCCACACAGTTCAATGTACCAAACAAAATGTAAAATATTAAAAATACATATACATTTTTATTTTTATCTTGAAGTCCTAGCAACAACTTTTCGTTAGTCTGTGTTTTCCTGTTTTCAAATATCATGTTTGAATATTGATGAAAAAAGCAAGGAAAATGTAAGTCAACACAATTTGAATAAAAAAAGGAAACTCAACTTTTATAGAAAAATAAAAGTTATAACAAATGATAGCATATATAATCACTATACGAGCCATTTTGCATTATAATGTTAGAATTTCAAACATCCCCAGGTTTACTGCAGTAAGCACTATGCTAACCAAGGCTGTTTAAAGGGAACCAGGGGTACAGTTTTTTGTTACCTTTTAAAACACTGGCATTGATCATGTGATTATAGCAAGCAGACCCTCCGATTTGGCATTTAGTTGAGATAAGTTGCTACAATGGCCTGTCTCCATAGCTACAGAAATAATGCAGGCAAAAGAAAAATTACCTAAAATACTTAAAATTAATATAATTTGCTTGGTTATGATTCAAATTTTTTTGTCAAAAGAAACTTTGTTTTTTTCTTTTGCCTACAGATTATTCATTATGGTAAAAATACAAATTTTTCGACTTCTACTGTAGTATGATTAAAATGTGGAGACTAAAGTTACAATTAGGGATGTCCCGATACCGATGCTAGCATCGGAATCGGGCCCGATAAGGGCATTTTGACAAGTACTTGTACTTGTCAAAATGCCCCGATGCCTAGCGCCGTAGCTTGCGCGTTTTTGTTTTTTTTACCGTCCGTGGGGTCCTTTTTACCGTCCTCTGGGCAGGATGGAGGAGCGTTGCGTCACTACTGTGGGCGGCGCTCCAGGGGGGGGGTCCTACTGTGGTTGGCCAGCGACTGCCCAGAGGACTCCACCTGTAGCTCCGCCCACAACAGTGATGCGACGCTCAGCCGCTCAGCGCCGCCGAGAGAGGGCCATGGGCCTGCAGGAGACTGAGGAGAGGGAAGGTAAGTTTGGAGTGGGATGTGAGGGGGGGGGGGGTTGGATGCTGGTGGTATTCTGCATACCTTACTTTTATTATAATGTATTGCTGGGACTTGTAGACTACAAGTCCCAGCAATTATATTTTTAAGTAGGGATACACCAGTGTTAATACTGGGCATTTTCACAAGTATTCATACTCGTGAAAATGCCCCGATACTAAACGCAGATACCGGTCAAGAACACTGACCTAGTCGAATTTTCCGACCTCAGCATCTGCTCTTACACACAGACCAATATTATCGAGGAAACCGGGATTTATTCACAAAGTATTTCGTTTAATTCGTTAATTGTGACCGATAATAATATTCTGTCCATAATTTCCTGCCATGGACGGCATATCATTAACGGTCACAATTAACCATTACAAACAAATACTTTGTAAATAAATGCCGGTTTCCTCGTTAATCACGTCTGTACATAAACACAGATACTGGGTCAGCGTTCTCGACAGAACACCGGCACTAAAATTTTAAACAAGCAGCTGCCTGAGGTCCCATGCTTGCTGGGGACCTCGGCAGCCTTCCTGTTAACCATGCAGTGCCGTGGGGTTGGAGGGGGGGGGCCCTTTATGGTTCCTGGCACTGGGGCCCTGAAGATTCTAGTTACGCCTCTGATTGTAAGTAATGTTGCTGGAGGTATGTAGGATTTTGGTGTTACAAATTTTAGATTTTGAAGAGTGATTAGCAATGACACAAAAGTACTTTTGGTAAGCAATGAGTACAACAGTTGTCATTGACACAATTCCTGTCCAGAAATGTAAAAAAAATCAAATGCCATGCAACATTTTTTTCACAATTTAATAACTAAATGTTAAGATGAAAAATTAAAACAATAAATGCACATACCATGATAATGACTCTTATACAGTACATGTGAGCTTTTCTTACCTTTGCCAGAGAAAGAAATGGTGGTCGAGGAACATCAGCAGACTTGGTCAGCCTGTTTGCTGTATCAAACTGACGTGTAATCTCATATTTTCCTGGTCCAGGGAAACCCTGATAAAAAAAATATATATATATGTAAACAAAATACATAAAATCTAAATTTAGAAAAGAAGCCAGAATGGCAATTCCAAAAGTGCATACATATGTATTATAGTAATATTAGTAACTGACAAATACTTCAGTGGCAGGTCATTGTATGGTATCAAAATGTTGCATTGCTTGAAGACAAATGGTTTGAGAACTGCCACACACTGAAGCATAAGGCATTCTTAAAAGAGAAGTAAAGCCAAACTTTATTTTGGGCTTTACTTCTCTTTTGCATTACAAGAATACATTTACTAATGTACTCCTGTGACTCAAAGTCAGCATATAGTGAGCTACTGAAGCTATACAGAGATGCGCTGAAACCGGGAAAGATCCTGCACTATCCAATGATTTTTTTTTTTTGCCCTGACATTTGCTTTTACCTCCAAGAACAAAACACGTAAAGAAAAACAAATGTTAACCAACATAAAAAAGCATCCACTAATATTTTAGATTGTCTCCCACTGTTTCTATCAGGGTACTAACAATGTAATCATTGGAAATGCAATAGTTTTCTTGTAAAGCAAAAACAGTTAGGCTGAACTACAAGGTGATTTCCTGGTTGCATTACTTGCCACTAATAACCCATGTTCTTTCTAAGCAGGTTAAAGCCATTTGAGGCATGCATGACCGCACTCCGGACCACTCGACATGCTTTTGTTGTCAGACTAATGGGTATATATACAGGCCCATATCACACAAGTGTCTGTGAAATAAGCAGGCTGGATGAGAGAATTCACTCTAGCTGGCTTTTGCTCTAAAAATGATCAATCAGGACCATATGCTGCTTCTGATGATATAAGCCCACTTATGCTCCAGAAACCTCTGCTGGAAGCTGCAATTCTCAGATTTACAAGCTGCTTGTTTCCAGATAGAGAAGCTGAGTGAATAGATATTGCAGAGCATCGCTGCAATACATTACATTGTCTATTATAAGAAAAGCGAGGAGATTAAGAGGGGGCATTATTTTGTTGTACAAAATGTTTAGTGGTGATGGCAACATCGACACTAAACTTTTTACTGTAAACTCCGTAACAAGGACTAGAGGCCACTACCTAAAATTGGTGGAGAAAAGATTTATCCACAAGGCGTGTAGGGTCTTCTTTTCAGTTAGAGCGGTTACATTTTGGAATTGTCTGCCACAAGCAGTGGTACCTACAAAAAATATTGATTTGTTCAAAAATCAATTAGATTTTATCATAAGAGACCGTAGCATACAGGGGTACAGGTACACGTAAATACTAGACCACACAGGGACTCTTACGAACACATGCACACACAAGACACACATGCACACACAAGACACATATGCACGCACAAGAGACAAACACACACGCACCCACACAAAGGTTGAACTTTATGGACCTGTGTCTTTTTTCAACCTCAAATACTATGTAACTATGTAATTCTCTTCTAATGCTTATTAATAGCATTATTAGAGCAATAGGAGTACAACTTAAAAGAATCTATCCAAGGATCCTGCACAGCTGAGAAATATACCCCAACCAGTTCCTAGAAGTCATATGTAGCTCTCCGCTGCCTTTGACATGGCTTCCAGCAGCCTTTCTGCACATGCATGTGCACAGATCCCCCCCTGATCGGAACAGATGATACCGCTAAGACATATGTGTCTATGCAGTTTTTTCCTCCATCTTGCAGTAGAAACTGACATTATGGGACCCTATTTTAGTGTATGGGCAGTACGGGTGTCCATCCGGTTACCCCTAAGGCCTCATGCATATGGCCCAAATGGTAAAGTTACCCTAGCCATGTGTATAAAGGAGAGAGACCGCCCTGAATAAAGCAGATGCGTCATAAACCTTAATCCTGAGTTTGTGATTTCTCTCCGGTGCACCGAAAACGACATAATTAGGAACAGCAGCAGACATCTTGTGTGAACCCAGTTGTGGTTCAGATCCATTTCACTAGCAGGCTGCGTTTAAGCCCGACAGAAGTTATATTTAAGTATAAACAACTTTATGGTTCCCAGATCACTTTTTTCTGTGCTGGGCTTAGTCACATTTATACGCGTTTACATGCGTTTAGCTGCATAAAACTGGTCTAGTCGAACCTGGAACGCAGAAATTAATCTTTTGGGTAAGCTGACCTAGACTGAAAGCACCTAGATGCTGCTGGATGCCTAGGTGTGCATTCAGTCACAGAAAAGCATTACATGAGTCCAGGTGCCTTTAGAAATGTGCTTTGAACGCACCTGAACTCAGCGTTTTGGTATGAAGTATGCATGAGGCCTAATCCGGCATGATCAGGTCTGGCTAAATGGATCTCTGCACTTCCATTTAGATTCAGCTGCCCATTCACTAATATCAGGCTTCTGAAAAACTGACAGCCAGACCTGATCAGAAAGCCTGTGTGAAAGGAGCCTTGAATTGCCTATTACATCAGGCAAGGAATAGTTCATTTACATAATTTAAATTACTTCATTAATTATTTAACTCTATTAAATAACTTTAAAAGAACTATTTATTCACATTTACAGGTTATTTATTTAGGTAATGCAAATGTAACATACAGTAAAACATGACAACCATTCAGGTTTAAGCTTTCTTACTAATTTGCAGTACACTGACATGCTGTCGTTTGTTATGAATTAATGTCCTTTGCACTTTGTGTTTATTTATCAAAGGAGATGTATGCTGGATTTGTTTCTTTCTTTGTTTATTGTGGTCTATTGTGTGTGGAAAAATACATTTTAGAAAATATTTGTTTTTTATCATAGTCATGTAAAGATTAAATATAGCATATTATTGTCTGCTCTTTCATCCAGCAAGCAGGAGGAGCTCTAGTCTCCTTTTTGTATTATTAGCACAATTACTCTTTTGGTGTGCTGAAATAGGCCTGTAGTCATCACAACAGTAACTGATCATTTATCAAACCGCTAAGTCCCAGGTATCAATTAGACAAAAGCAAGATGTTCTGATATGCTGTCTCTTTAGATATCCCATACTGCTCTGAAAATGCTCTGTCATGTATTAAATGATTATTTGTAATATACTGAATCTGACTGAAACGTCAAACAGCCTGTCTGAGCAGAGCAGGCAGGGAGAGTTACGGCAGAGGGAGTAAGTAACTACTTTAAATTGGTTGGGTGTGTAAATTACATCTTGAGTATCTAACAATATACTAAAAAGGAGCCTAGTGCTCCACCTGCTGGCTAGACTGAAAATACAAAATATTAATATACAATATTTCATATGTACCTGAATAAAATAAAAAAAAATTAGTCTAATTTTAGTCTAATTTATTAGTTCTGGACATGATAAAGAAAGAAAACTACACATTTTTCATAAATAGGGAAGCTAGTATTATACACTATATTGCCAAACGTATTGGGACGCCTGCCTTTACACGCACATTAATTTTAATGGCATCCCAGTCTTAGTCTGTAGGGTTCAATATTGAGTTGGCCCACCCTTTGCCGCTATAACAGCTTCAAGTCTTCTGGGAAGGCTGTCTACAAGGTTAAGGAGTGTATCTATGGAAATGTTTGACCATTCTTCCAGAAGCACATTTGTGAGGTCAGGTACTGATGTTAGATGAGAAGGCCTGGCTCGCAGTCTCCGCTCTAATTCATCCCAAAGGTTTTCTATCGGCTTGAGGTCAGGACTCTGTGCAGGCCAGTCAAGTTCCTCCACCCCAAACTCACTCATCCATGTCTTTATGGACCTTGCTTCTCCTGGCACCCGCCAAACCCAGACACATCCATCGGATTGCCAGACAGAGAAGCATGATTTGTCACTCCAGAGAACACTCTAGAGTCTGGTGGCGGCGTGTTTTACACCACTACATCCGACGCTTTGCATTGCACTTGGTGATGCATGGATGCATCTGCTCGGCCATGGAAACCCCTTCCATGAAGGTCTCTAGGCACTGTTGTTGTGCAATCTGAAGACCACATGAATTTGTGACGCATTTTTCCTTGAAATGAACAATGTCACAAAGTCTGTTTGACACATATAAATACTTTAGAGTACCGAGAGACTAAATTCTGTACAAAAATAAAATATGAGATGTTCCACCATGGTCAAATGAAGAACATTTAGGCAAAATCAGTCTGGTAAGCAACATCAAACTATAAAAGATAGATCAGTAAAATAAAGTATGTATTTATATTTATTATATAATTATTATTTGCACATTGTTGTTTTTGAAGATTCACATTGGGACACAGACAAAGCGCAGCAAATTAGTCTTTACTGTTAGGTTCTATAGTGGGCTGTGCGGACCATCAGGTGGCTGTGGGAAGTCTCAAGAGGGATGTGAGGTCTCACCGGAGGTCAGTCAGCAGGTGCAGTCGGTGTGGATCCACCAGGAAGGAGGAAATATGCTGCTCGGTTTAAAAATTTTAAGCTGCAGGAAAGGTGCGAGAGACACATGAAATAGCCTGGCGGGCCTTGTGTTTGCCACATCAGATCGTACGTTTTTTTAAGTACCTTACAACCATCGCAAGACAAAAGTCTTGCGATGGTTGTAAGGTGTGTGCCCAGCCTTAGCCTGTTTTGAAACTGTGGTTTGTCCAATTAAAACCTCCAGCTGAACTATCTGATAACGAGCAACCAATTCACCTCTTTACAGGAGGTAAACAGGATCGTTATTAAAAAAGCAACCCAAGAGTCTGGAAAAACATAAAAAGTTGCCTAAAGCTCCATCTGCTGGCAAAAGAGAAGAGTACAAAATATTATTATACAATATTACCTTATTTTAAAAAAAAAAT